CAACCCAGGGAGAACCGGAGCACCGACCCTGCCCCCAATAGCCCCCCAAGGCCCAACGCCCACTCGCAGCCCAGACCCCAACCAGGCGGCCTACCCCCCATCCCTGCCCCCGACCCCAAATGTCAAACGGCGAACGGGGGTGTAAGGAAAAAAAATATATGTATATAAATAATTCACAGGAAGACCCCACTCCTCCAACTCAAATAAGGTGTTGATGCATGTTGTTATATAGTGCGTTTAAAATGGGGAGGATGAGGTGGTGAGCGGCACAGACCCAACCCCTCCCCAGAGAACAGGCAGTGCCTGTTCACCTCCCCAACCCTTGCCCAGAACCCTAAATGTCTACATGCTAGAGTGGGCACAGGTCCCGGAGGTGAGAATGATTAGATGGATCTGCTAGATCCCATCCCAACCAGACTGTTTAAAGAGGTATTTCCCCTTATTAATGTCCACATTTTGGATCTACATAATTTGTCTTTAATGAATGGTTATGTACCACAGCGCTTTCAAGTAGCTGTAATTGAACCTTTACTTAAGAATTCTGACCTTGATTCAGAAATTCTGGCCAACTATAGACCTATATCTAACCTAACTTTCATCTCAAAAATTTGAAAGAAAATAGTTTGTAGGTCAGTTGCGTGAATATCTACAAAGAAATAATCTGTTTGAAGAGTTTCAGTCAGGGTTTAGAGCTCATCATAGCACAGAAACAGCACTAGTAAAAGTCACTAATGATATTCTCATGGCCTCAGACAATGGACTTTTGTCTATACTGGTTCTGTTAGACCTCAGTGCTGCATTTGATACAGTTGATCACAATATTTTCCTACAGAGGCTTGAATATGATATTGGGATTACAGGAACAGCTCTAAAATGGTTTAAATCATATCTATCTGATAGATTCCAGTTTGTAAATGTAAATAATAAATCTTCTTCATGCACCATTAGTCATGGACTTCCTCAAGGCTCAGTGCTTGGGCCAATACTCTTTACGTTATATAGGCTTCCATTAGGTAAAGTTATTAAACAACATGGGATACATTTCCATTGTTATGCTGATGACACACAATTATATTTGTCCATTAAACCCAATGAATCCAATCAGCTACTTAGACTACAACCATGTCTTAAAGACATAAAAACCTGGATGACCCTTAATTTTCTCCTGTTGAACACAGACAAAACTGAGGTTTTGGTTTTTGGACCTGAGCACCTTAGGAATGAATTTTTCAGTCTTTCTCCCTCCTTAGATGGCATTAATCTGGCCTTCAGTACTAATGTTAAAAATCTTGGTGTTATTTTTGATCAGGACATGTCTTTTATCCCCCACATTAAAAACGTTACTAGAACCACCTTCTTCCACATGCGTAATATCACTAAAATTAGAAACATCTGATCTAAAAATGATGCAGAAAAACTGGTCCATGCATTTGTTACGTCTAGACTGGACTATTGCAATGGTTTATTATCTGGATGTCCAAATACTTCTTTAAAACATCTTCAGTTGATTCAAAATGCTGCTGCCAGAGTCTTAACCGGAGTTAGTAGGAGAGATCATATTTCTCCAGT